TTCGGAGCAAGGCATAGTGGCACAGTGAGAATGCGGGCAGACAAATGCAGATGATGGCGTGAGAGAGAAAGAGAGAGGACTCAAGCTGCAGGGCGCTACCCAACATTTTTTGTAAATTTTTTTTCAGAGCATCTTGCTCATATGTTATTTCATGAAACTCTTCTGTGTCAGCCAAGGTCTTTTGGTACAGTAACTCTGTATACTCCTTCCATCTTCTTTTAATGCTTCCTTGATCATTTAATATTCTGCCCAAAACTTTCCTTAAGCATTGCAACTCAAGGCTTGAATTTGTTCTTCAGTTCTTTCAGCTTAAGAAATGCTGAGCAAGTTCAGCCCTTTTGATTTTCTGACTTCAGCTCTTTGCACATTTTATTATAATAATTTAATTTGTCTTCTTGCACTGCCCTTTTAAATTTTCTGTTCAGCTCCTTAATTTCTTGATTTCTTCCCTTTGCTTTGGCTTCTCAGTGCTCCAGTGCAATATTCAGAGTCTCATATCCGTTTTGGTCTTTTCTTCCTCCTCTTTGTAAAGACCTTTTGCATTCTTCATGGTTGATATTCTTAATATCCTCCCACAACTTATCTGGTCTTCACTCATTAGTGTTCAAGACCTCAAACATGATACTGAGATGGTTTTGAAATTAGAGTGAAATAGATTCAAAGTCAAATTTTGTTTCCTGTTTATTACAATAGTGAAAAATCTGTTCTGTGATGATTTTGTGCACTAATGACCTATGTCTGGCAGCCACAAACACCAGGTGAGAGTGACGTTGACTGTGATGGCTCAGGTTATGTGCCAGTGTGGCTGAGCCATGATTCTCCATGGTTTGGCACTTTATGTAACAAGGTAACTTGAAAGTAGTCTAATTGTGCCGTCATCTTTCATTTTGTAATGTGATGTGGCCATCCTCCATTTTTGCATAATGCCAATTTTCACAGAATGACCTTGCCTTTGAAACCTAACCATGTCAACAAGTTAGGAGTGAGTGCATAAGTAAATCAAGAATTGGAGAGTCTGGGTAACTTTCTTGAAGCAACACAGCTAAGGAAGGGACAGAGTCAGGATTCAGACTTAAGAGGGTCTGACCTGAAAGTCTGTGGCTTATTTAGATGTAATGGCCTGAGTCAACCCAAGGGAGGAAAGACCGATGACCAGCTACCCAAACCCAGCTGGTGAAAATGCTGTACATCACAGTGGATCAACTGCAAATTATCAAAGTATGATACAGGGCTGGAAAACATTTTATTCCTTTTTAGCTCACAGCGTACCATGAACTAGAAGTCAAACAGTGGCATCAAAACAACAACAAAATCATCCCTTCCTTTGAGGTCAGTGGTGGCTCATTGATAGGATTCTCCTCTTCCATTCACGGTCAGTGAACCTCCTGTGCAGCCACCACTTCTCTGTCAGTAGAGGACTGAAGTTGCTGTGATGCTGGACAAGTTTAAGTGGAGCTTCCAGACTAACACTAGGAAGAAAGTCCTGGTCATCTGTATATGTAAGTCAGCCAGTGAAAGTCCTGATGATCACAACACTTCAATCTAAAACTGACCATGGGCATGGTGCAGGACCAGGCAGCATTTAGTTCAGCTGTGCATGGGATTGCCATGAATCAGAGGCTGCCTCGGGGCAGCTAACAGTAACAGCATCATCCCTAAAACACACAAAGAACACAAATAAGCAGTCACCACATGGAAATCTCAAAGCCTGAGAAGACCATATATGCGGAGTTTCTGGGTTTTTCCTTAGTTGTAGAATTACAAGTGATCCCCACCCTGCCATTTATTTACAGTGATTTTTCTGTTTATTGTACCTAGGTGTTTTTAGTTATAGGGTTGTTGTTATGTTGTTAGGTGCTGTTGGGTCAAGTACAGTTCATAGCAAACCTAGGAACAACAGATCAGAACCCTGTCCCATCCTGTGCCATCCTCACAGTTTCTGACACACTCAAGCCCATTGCTGAGGTCGCTGTCTCAATCCATCTGGTTTAGGGTCTTTCTCTCCTTCACTTCCCTTTACCTTTCTAAGTATGAGAGGGCTCCTAGGAATAACTGCTCCTAGCAACTTGCCAAAGCGTGCAAAACAAAAACTTCATCATCTTTGCCTCCAAGGAGCACTCTGGCTGCACTTTCTGTAAGGCATGTCTGTTTGTTCTTTTGGCAGTCCATGGGATATTCAGCACTGTTCGCCAACACCGCAGTTCAAAGTCATCAATACTTCTTCTGTCATCTTAATTCATTGTCAGTTGAGGACTAAGGTGTGCCTGATTCAGGTCATGGTCTTTTCAATCACGTTCTATGCATCTGTTTTAGTTAACGTTGTTTTTGTTGATTGCCATCAAGTTGAAACCGACCCATAGCTGACCCTCCAGCAGATTTTTAGAGGCAATGAATCACATGGGAGGAAATTGCCCATCCTTCTCCCTGAAAGCATCTGGTATACTTAAAGCACATGCCTTTGGAATTGCAGCACAACTTCTTATCATTAGGCCAGCAGAGCTATGGATGGCAGAAATTTCACTTGACCCAGCTTTAGAAAGAGAATTTCCTGGTTTTTACAACTAGGAAGTTCAAGGTTGAGCCAGTGTCAGGTAGGGCAGGATTCAAGTATTTATATGGTGACATAAGTTCTCTTCCCCCCACCCTTAACTTTTTTTTAAGATTTGAGTTAAAGTTTACAGAGCAAATTGGTTTTCCAGTCAATGGTTCGTGCACATAAGTGTTTTAAGACATTGATTACAGTCTCCACATTGTGACTCTTCCTACTTGTCTATCTCATCTCCATTTGTCCTTCTTTCCTATCCCTTCCTGCCTCCTGAGTTTTATCCCTGGACAGGTGCTGCACGTTTGGTCCTGCCTGGCCATGTGTCCTACAGTGCATTCCTCCCTAGTGTTATCAGTCACTGTACAGGCCTGTCTGTTGTTTTCAGTGTAGGTCTTTGGCTCTTGTTAGCTCTTCTCTTGGCTTCTCAGTCCAGCTTTGCCCACATGATGGCAAGAGAACCCCTGTAATGGTAATGCTTATGCTAATACGAATCCTATGCAGCCTCTGAGGATTGGTTGTCCCAGCTCAGTCTGCATGTCCATTCCTGGATGCCTGGCACCCAGATTGGAATATTTACATTTTTTAAGGGTTTTACAGTTTATTAATCTTCTGGTGAAAAAGCCACACAGTCATTGCAGATCACATCACTGGAGAATGTTTATGCCTTCTTTCTGCCAGCTCCCACATTGGCCTTCACAGTCCTCCTGACTTTCTTCATCCTGTTTATGTGCTCCTTGTGCTGTTTCCTTGACATCTTTTTCTTCTCATACAGACCATATCATGCAAGTCTGTGTTTGGGTTCATTTTCCTTCATATAATCCAAGGAGTCATAAATCATGCCAAAGCCCGTAGTCTTGCCACCAACAACTTGGGCTCTGAATCCAAACAAAGATGACACTTGGTGTGGTCTTGTACATTTTTGCTAGTTTTTCTTGAATTTCTGTCTTACAAACTATTGCCTTCCCAGGGTGAAGAAGATCAATAACCATTTGCTTCTGCTGCAGTAGTCGGCTGGTCATGAACTTCCTGCCCCGGATAGTCACCGTGTCATTCATGATGGTGACCTTCACTCATGCAGACAGAGAGGAAAAGCCAGATTGGAATATTTTAATTGGTCATCCTGGACTGCATACCTGTACTGATGAAACCCCATCCAGATATATGGGCCTAAGAAAGCTTTTATACAATTGGAAAAGAGAAGACTGGGCAGATCCTAGGATCTGAAGATCTTTTCTCATATGGCAAAAACTTTGCAGATGAGATTAAGTTAAGACATTTGAGATGAGGAGTTGTCTTTAGTTACTCATGTGAGCCTGGAATGTCAATATGAGTATCCTTGTAAGAGAGCGGGAAGAGGGACACTTGAGAAGTATGGAGTAGAAAGCTGTGTGCAGACAGCAGAGAGCTCTGAAGATTGGCATGATGCTGTGACAAGCCAGCATGATCCAGTGGACAGCCACCAGTCACCGGAAGAGGACAGGAGCAGACCTTCCCCTGTGGTCTCTGGAGAGAGCTTGGTCTTGGGGACACTTTGATTTCTGTTCTGCATAACTGTTGGTATGAATTTCCAGACATTGGCCTCCAGCACATGAGAGATTACATCTGTGCCATTTTAACCACTAGTTTGGAGTAATTTGTTACAGTGGCCACAGGGAACTGAATCCACAGGGGACAGACACACAGAAGAACACAGGAGGGGAGGCACAGGGAAAGACAGAACCTTTATGTCACTTTCTGAGGTGGAAGGCCTGGTTTGTCTGAGAAGGATGGAGCTGATGTTCAAACTCCCTCCCTGGGAAACGTGGAAAGAATGCTTTAGTGGGAGGACCCTGGGAAGATCTGACGAGACTGTGTGTGCGGTGCTGCCAGCCTGCCCAGGTGGAGTCTAGACATACGAAGCCAGCCTAATGAACAGGGGGCTTCAACTCACAAAAAGGGTGAGAGTGAGTGAGCATCTACCAACGTTTTATCCTTTAGTTTTGTTTTTGCTGTGAGTTTTGTTTTGTTTTCATTCGGCTCCAGTGTATTTTCGAGGATAGACATTAAAGGATGGAGGGTGCCATGGGTTCATACTTGGCTCGCCTCCTTCCCCTGCCCTTGTTGGGTCATACTCTTGGTTATGGCAATTCTGCCAGCCTCCAGCAGGAGGCGCTGAGAGCACTGACTGTAGCTCGCCTCTTGGCGTATCCGGTCCCATGGCGCACCTCTAAGTGTCTCCGAGGTTTCGTTGTCCTTCAGTTTTGCACTTTCAGCATTTTGCTTTTGCCTCTCGAGGAATTCGGGAGGGCAAGGGATAGAGAAAGTGCCGAGTTACAGTAAAGGGAGTCCTGAACCCCAAATTTTGTCCAGAGCTAGTCCGACCTGGATACTGGGTCCAGCAGGAGGCCATAGACGTGAGAGGGGTTGAGCAATTGGGGTTCATCTAATCTCGCTTCTTGTCCTTGTGTTTTTGCAGCTTCAGCCTGAAGCCAGTCAGAACTCTGAGAACATCCTGTCTCCAACTGCTCAGCCTCCTCTAAGCCAGAGCTTTGTACAAAGTCACTTTCAAGCACAATATAGGTAAGAGTTGAATGTCTTTAGAGCTCCTCACCCAGAGCTCGTGGGAATTGTGTGCCCAGTTAACCCTGAGGTTAAAAGCCAACAAAAACCAGAAATTCTCCCATTTTAGTTTCCACCTGAGAACTAACCCTGTCTGACCCTTAGTAATTCTTGGTTTCCCTCTTCTGGCTCTGTGCCATCCATCTCCCCTAGATGAGTAGGTTTACAGAGTGCAAACCTGAGGCTACTGTCTTCCCAGACAGCAGTCATGGTCAAGAACAAGAAGCACTGTCAGTTTTAGCCAGAGAATCCACTTTCATAAGTTAAGGGTTTCTAAAAAATAAATAAATAAATCATTTTAGAAAGTGGCTTTTCTTTTCAGGTTATGAGTGAGCATTTGCCAGAGCTTTTCCTTAAATTTTTTGCTTTCTCAGCATTCTCTTTTTGACTGCCAAGGAGTTTGGGGGAGGGTGGGGAATAAGAGATTGAAAGAGCACTGAATTATGGTGAAAGGAGCCCAGAAGGCCCAATTCTGTCCAGTATAAATAACGGTATCACAGAATCATGTGAGGCAGAACTTGTTTTAAGTTTGGAAATTATGCCTTTATTTGTGGTGGGTTTTTTAATTTAATTTAGGTTGTTTATTTTTCATTTCAATGAACATCTACAGAGATTTTGGGATTCCATTCATTCATTGTTGCACCCTTCTC